AGGACTTGTATCTTGATCACATGTCCAAAATTGCTCAATATGTGAAAGTCAAGTATGACATGCAAGCCATCATCTGGGATGATGAACTCAGATCCATAAGTCATGAGAAGCTATCAAAGTCTCCTCTGACTGACCTGATTGAGCCTATGATCTCAAACTACAAGGAATCAGTGAGTGGTTCAACTTTTATTCACTATAAAACAAAAAAAATCTTGTGATTGATCTTCAATTGATACAACTCATTAGATACCTGGAGACAATAGCACTTTGGACCTGACTTCTTACCAAGGATCTTTCAAGTATATCTGGGGAGCAGGTGCCTTCAAAGGGGCAGATTCTGTGGATTCACTATTCCCCTCTTATGAGGGAAGGCTGAAGAATATTTTAGAATGGGTTCAGCTCATCCGGAAAACAGAGGGAACCACTTCCTTGTCTTTCAGAGGATTTGTTTTGATTGGACGACAAAGGTATGGTACAATTTAATCATACCTGAATCCACAAACCTTAGGATGAGCCCCTTTATTGCGTTTGACAATCCAATGCTTAAACTTGCTTTCTTGAATTTTTGAGAATAGTTTCCTGGATCAATTATCAATTGCTCTTGTAACTGAAGGTCTTTGGGCCAGTGCCAATTAAAAATTAAATTTTACCATTTGTGTTTGAAATTTCTTCTACACTGACACATGGATCATCAGATATATTTTCCACCCTCCAGTCATGAATGGATGCTGATGATGGTGTTTATATTTTTCCCAATAATTTGTGCAAAGCATATTTAATTTTGTAACAATTACTTTTAAATTGGTTGATTGTTTTGCTTTGCCCCTTTGTGAAAATCATTTTTATACAGACTTTAGTCAGTGTGTAAAAAACCTAAAATGGAAACCTGTTCTCAAATGCCATTATTTTCAAAATGATTCAAGAATTTCAAATTTAGATGCTGTTTTTGGATTGTTCCTATTTGCATGATGGCAAGAATCACAGCTACATTAATGCCTGGATTATAACTTCAAATAAATAAATTCACTATTATCAAAAGAGTGTGGCAAGGTTGGGCAATGTATCAGGAATTGTATAAAGAGCCTTGATTTTTACTTATTTTCATGTAGAATGAGTATATCAAGTTATTACAGAAATGAAAATAATGTTGCTCTAGAATATTTTTGGCAATGAAAAATTGAAATTTAGTTCAGCTATATTTCAACGCATATATTTTGCAGGTTCTCCCACTTTTCCACACTTTGTGAACTGCTTCCAGTGTCTCTCCCAGTGCTTGGGATGATCCTACAAGTGGTCAAAGGATCTCCTCCAACATCCAGCGCAGTTATTCAATACCTCACAGATGTGTTCTCCTGTCCAAGTCTTTTTGAAGAGCTGGCAAAAGCTACTGAAGACAATAATCGAGCCAATTTCCACAAAAATTGCAAATTTGATGGCTCGCAAATCTTCTCTCTTGCCTTGAGCATTCATTCAGCACGTGCCAATCTGGACACACTGGAAAACAGCCAGTCAGTGAAGGGCTACTGGACCAAATACAACCTGGATAATGGATTTGTTTCTCCAATGACCATGAGTCAATTAGACGTTATTAAGACATTTTTAGAAATTAATGACACCATGACGCGGATTTTACATTCCTCTGAAGNGTATACCTTTATCGCAGAAAAAATTGTGACAGTAAATGGGACATTTGTGTTGAAAAAAAAAATTAAAGCAAATTTTCTAAATTTGTTTGTGCATATTATTCATGGGTCACATTCCAGATAAATCAAATTGAATTCTTTCATTTGGGTATGAATTCATATTCTAAGAATCTAATATTGTTATCTGGTACAATTCGCAGGAGTGAAAGTAAAATGCTTTCAATAAGTCATTTTCCAATTGGGTAATATCCTTCCTTAGAACTCGCTAAATCCTAGATGACTGAAACTATTTCGATAGACTTCGAAAACTTCTGTCCAGTTTGTATGCTACTACTCTTCAAGAGGTCCTCTCTCTCTCTCTCTTCAAAAAGACCATGAAATGAACGTGTATCGCATGGAAAAAAATGTTGACTTGAATGAAGAGAAGCTTGACAAAATTCCGAAAGACAGTGAATCACTGTGTGTATAGTCACTCATCATCACCCGGAGAAACAGGATCGTTTCACACCGGGAATCTCGAACACTCATTCGTCGGCCCCCCAAAAATGCAGAGAAAAACAAATGCCATTCACGGGGTAACAAAATGAGACGGAAGAACAAAAGACAGACAGTAAGTCAAACAGAAACACAGCCGACCTTCTATGTTTATGGATACGATCGATTTTTTCGCTAAGCGGTTTTCCTTTCTCGCTTATTCCCGAGATTTCGGACCTCAGAACAAACGCCGAGTCGCGCTGCGGATTCCCGTTGTCCTAAAACGTACAACAGCTCGGCAAGCGAGGGCCCTTCCTGCAAAATGAGTAAAAATTGCACACTTGAAATATTTCTGCACAATGGCGAAATTCCTTGCCAAAATATGAGAAACGGATTGGGTGTGGGAGGAAAGTCTTTAATCTCCATGCAGAGCATGATTTCTCACTCGTGACAGTTTGATGAAGAAATTATACAAAAATTGAATCAGTCTATCTTTCATGCATTCCAGGTATTTCTGCTCAAGAATACAGTGGGGCCCTGAGATAAGGACGATTCGATTCACAGCCACTTCAAAAGGTTCGCCACTTTAAACTCAAAAAGGTTTGCCTCGAGATATGGACACTTCACCAAAATTTCCATGAACATGAGAACATTCCATTTTCAAAATGTTGATACCCCTTGAACAAAAGTAAGCTACTGCTGGATGGCAAAAAAATTCAACATAATTTACAGCTTATTATAAATTTACTCAAATTCATAATCCAAAATAAGCAAAAATTCAGTGCTTCTCTTTCTGAAGTCATATCCATTAACTGTGTGCAAAGTATGTGTATTAGTTTCTTTTTTGTCTTTTCGGACTTGTTTGTGCCCAAAGGGCAAATTCCAAGTATGTAGCTTTCTCCTGCACAGATCTTTTCAAAGGCTTAAAGTTGCAAAAAAAAAATTATTTAAATTTTGGAGGACTTCTTAAAAATTATTGAAACACAGGGGGTGATTGAAAATGTTCCCCATAGAAGTCTATGATGGAAAATTTGATCCAACATGCAGATGATCTGAGAAACAGGAACATTCCCAGAAGTACTGTGATTATGCCCACATCTCAGGGCTCCACCATTCCTTAATGTATAAAAAAAAATTTAAAAGCTACAATACAGGGATTCAATCCTCAATCTTTGTACTAAGACAGGACCAAAAATATTCTATTTGAAAAAATGTTGATATCCCTTGAACAAAGTGAGCTACTGCTGTATGGCAAAAAAAGACAATATAATTTACAGCTTATTATAAATTTACTCAAATTCATAATCAAAAATAATCTCAAATTCAGTGCTTCTCTTTTTAAAGTCAACTGTGTACAGTGCTGCAAAATAAGTGTGTTAGTTTCTTTCACTATACTTCAATGTTTAAAAAAATAATTAAAAGCTATAATATAGGGATTCAATCCTCAACCCTTGTACAAAGACAGGAACAAAAACAATTAAAATAAATAAACATGGTAATGATATTACTCATTTAAAATTCCCCAAAAAAATGTGGAAAGAAAGCCAAGAAACTCAACTTGGCACATCAGAAACAAAAGAAGAAACATACCAGGCGCCCAGTCAAGGCTATACGAGCAGCCTTCATGCATGCCTTGAAACTCTTCCCCGAATTCTTCAACCCAGATTTCAATTCCTTTGGTATCTTGTCCAAGACAAAATCCTCCGACTCCCATTCCAAAATCAGATTCCTCACGGGTCTCACAAGGTCTGCAAATTACGAAAAAAATAAAAAATTCAGTCTTTATTTCGAATGCATCACATTTAATACCAGGGATAATATA